TTTTTTTTTTTTTTTTTTTTTTTTTTTTTTTTTTTTTTTTTTTTTTTTTGCGTTCGTCGATTGTTTTCATGATATAGCTGAAATGTCGATTTACCCCTTGTATCGTTGTTCCTAAATTAGCCGATGTGAGACTTTTATCATCCAACGCCTCTCATCGAACAAAGTACGCCTCACCTTAATCGAGGCTTGACTCCTTCTTTTGGAGTCCTTTATTCGATATTTGAAGATTTACCAATCTATTGGTATGACTAAATTTAAGGCATGACTCTGATACCATGTTAGATGAACACGACTCTCCACAATGGTATGATATTGTCCAGTTTGAGCATAAGCTCTCGTGCCTTTGCTTTGGGCTTCCCCAAAAGGTCTCGTAACAATGACGAGAGAATTCCTTGATTATAAACCCATGATCATTCCCTAAATTAACTAATGTGGGACTTTCATCATCCAACAAGCTCGACATAATTTTTTTTTACTTCTTAATTTTTTTTTCTTTCGTGTGGTATGTCAAGAGAAAGAGTTGGTCCATAGATGAAACAAACAAATAATATTACCTTATCCAGTTGTGCGTTAAGCAATTGCTATTCCCTCTCGAATATCAGTGGTCGTTCATGTCAGAACGAAGCGATTGCAATAAATTTACTTCTTTTTTTTTTTTTATCAAAATTAGTATTTCGTGTACCGTCAGATCGAAAAGAATCAAGAAGATAAACTTCCCTCCCGAAGACCAATTTACCTTTTTTCATCAAAATTGGGTTAGTATTCCGTGTACCGTCGTCCAAAAGAATCGAGAAAAATTTGTCAATAATAATAAAATAAATAAATAAATAAAAAATAGATGAGTGAACGAAGTTCTTCATTAAGTCAAAATTTATTTTATATGGCAATGAAAAAAAAAAAAAAGATCTCATAATTTGAATGCCCAAAATACCCTCATCTTTGATTGTTTGGATTCCTCCAAAGTGGTCCTTTTGGTTGCCCTTTTGACTATATACCCAATAATATATTGCCCACACCCTAAATTCATAACCACGTCACATCACATTGCATGCTAACCCATTACCATTGTTTTTCAAATCATTAATGAAAAATAAATAAAAAGATTCTAAAAATAAATGTGCTCGGTTGAAAATTTATTTTAGACCGAACCCAATGGTTTGGGTCGTAAATTTTTTTAACCCAACAACAAAAATATTTAGATTTGGTTGGTCGAATTCCGTTCATTTATTTAATTTTTTTGATAAAAATAAAATAATACATAAAATATAATTATACGTAATTATATATTTAAAAAAACTAACAATAAATTTTCGAACATCACTAACTTATTAACTAACTCAACCCATAAATTTTTTATTTATTTGAACACAACCGAAACAGTTCGAAATTGAGTTGGGTTGATTGATTTATTTAGATTAGTGAATTTTTTTTAATATCTTGGACTATGGTCGTGTTTCTAGTATCCGTTCTTGGTAGAGAGCCCAAATGAGGGGAGACCTTTACATTCGGTTCGGAAGAACTTTCGGATGAGCGGTGAAATACGTACCGATCAAGAGGTACACCGACAGTAAAAGCACTTTCCAAAATGATTATTTTTAGGTTGATTTTGGGCATAAACTTTATATCTAAAAAAAGGTCCCTACCAAAAATGTAGTCTACATGTTATTGTAATTGTGTTAATAGTTATGGTAACATCATAAATATTATTAAAGAATTTTTTTTTAAATAAAATAAAAAATTGAAATAAAATTATAATTTTGAATTTAATAGGCTCTTTTTTAGTTGTCACCCACTTTCCTAATGGTTGTTTGAATTGGAATTAAAACTGTCCTTTCATTCATTCTCCATGGTTGACTTTACTTTTAAAAATATATGGATATACGTGTTTTAAAATTGTGAGACTGACGACGATACGTAAAGTGAAAGTGATATTTGTTAAACTTTTCTTCGCTACCGATTTGTTGCTCTTTTTCTTTCTCGTCAGATCGAGCTCTGAATCATCAGCTTTGGTGTCATCTTCATCTTTTGTAAAACGGTCGACTATGACTAGTTCATTGGGCTTTTCTCCGTCCAACTCCGTGGTTTCCTGTCGGTTCGAGTTCTTAATCACCAGGTTTGGTGGCGTCTTCATCTTTTGTAAGATGGTTGACTGTACCAACAAGGTCAACTATGACTAGTTCATTATATATTTATGGCTTTTCTCCTTCCAACACCGTGGTTTTCCATTGGTTCTAATTCTTAATCACCAGATTTGGTATCGTCTTCATCTTTTGTAAGTCGGTCGATTATGACTAGTTCATTATATTTATGGGCTTTGTTCGTCCTTCGCCGCCTTTTCGCGTCGGTTTGAGTTCCTAATCACTAGCTTTGATGGCGTCTTCATCTTTTGTAAGACGGTCGACTATACCGACAAAGTCGGTTATGACTAGTTCATTATATTTATTGCCTCCACTCTGTTCGTCATCGTCCTTTTCTATCCTTACACTCATTTTAACGAAGCTAAATTTATTCATCATCAAGATTTCAAAAGCCGCCATGGTTGCCACCACCATCAATACGCATCGA